CATATGTTTTAATTTAAGGAATAAAAATCTGTATATATAAGCTATATTTTGATGTTTTTTGAGGTGATAACCAATATAACATATGCGAAAAATTGTTTAAGGATCTGTAATCATCCTCACCAAAATAAACACGTTACCCTCCTATTTACCTTTGTACCGTGCAGTTACTATAATCCTACCTCTCAAGGCTTTGATTCAACAAACGCATGTACATGTACAATAATTAAACACTTTGTTGCCTTCCCACTCTGGCATTTATCTCTCTTCCTAGTCTACGCACTAGCCACGCCTTCTGACGTAATGTCCACCAAATAAGGACACAGGAAATAGGTCCCACTAGATACCATGCAAATTTTACTGGTATGGTTATTGCTGAAAAAATATTGGGGAATGTAAATATTATTATTTATATTTAAATGCTGTGGTAAAATTAAGAAACTCATTTCAAAATTAATGGTTATCTCCCTCATGCATAGCGCTGATCCTTCAACATATTTGGCTCAAGTCTTTGGCACCTTTTTTCAGCTCTTCAAAGTCTTTTTTATTTAAATATTTTGGTCGCCCGCGTGGCGCAGTGGTTAGAGCGTCTGCTCTAGAGTCGCGGAGAAAGGAGTTGATCCTTACGTCGCGGGTTCGAATCCCAATGTGGGACGTGGAGACCGATCCTTCGGATGTGACCGTATAAACCGAGGTCCCGTGTCGCAGTAGGTGCTTGCACGAAAAAGACCCTCACTGCTCAATGGCCGTAAGTGCCGAGTATAGGACAAAATTTGCAGCTCTCCACCGGCAAGTGGTAGCGTCTCCATATGAGAGAAAAATTCTCGAGAGGGACGTTAAACAACAAAAAAAATTTAAATATTTTGGGATTTCCAGCGTTTCGGCATGAGCATCACTGAAGAGACTTAACTTGTCGAAATGCACATCTGGTGCTATAACGGCATCTGGCGCAGTATTTGATTTACATTAGCAAAGACATGTACATACCAATCTTCTGTTGCCCTGATGAAGATTGTTCTGTTATTGATAAAAGGGTACGACTTTCAATCATTTTCAACCTCTTTTATACTTTATCAGGGTCCAGTTGCAGTAGATGTCTAGTATTCGTTCGTCTGTCCACTTTAAGAACCTTAATCAGCCCTGGGGTACGATACTTAAACCTGAATACGGCTTGGGTGATCAGAAAATGACGGATTACGAAATAGGCCAGACGGTGGATCGTCTGTATAAAATTCCTGCCACCAAAGAGCGCGTGAAGGAAAGACCGAGAAATAAGATGACAGGAAGAAATTACAGAAATGGTTTTTTGTTTGTTTGTTTGTTTATTGTTTAACTCCCCTCTCGAGATTTTTTCTTTCATATGGAGACGCCACCACTTGCCGGTGGAGAGCTACAAATTTTGACCTATACTCGGCACTCAAGGCCATTGAGCATTGAGGAATCTTTTTCGTGCCAGCACCTACTGCGACACGGTTTATACGGTCTCATCCGAAGGACCGGGCTCTACGTCCCGCAGTGGGATTCGAACCCGCGACGTAAGGATCAACTCCTTATTCTGCGACTCTAGAGCGAACGCTCTAACCACTGCGCCACGCGGGCGACTATAGAAATGGTAAATATTGTATAAATTGTGTAATACAGATATATGTAGATCTTGAAATCATGCAAATTTTTATATATCTAAGATAAAAAGCAGTAAAAGTTTCCCCTTTTTAGGGAAAGATTTAAAAGAATTAGAAAATACATTGTATTTGATACGTTGTAACAATTCAATACCGTTGCGAATATATTTTTTCTCTCTGCAGTTACAGAGGATAACTAAGGCTCCCGTGGAGGAGATTCCAGACAGTGGCAGGCGGGTGACGAAGTCTACATACAGCGAAATGGGCGTGGTCAGTTCTTACGCCTGGAAGGGTTATAACTAGGGAATTCCGGGATTTTAATTTTTGTCATTTATAACAAATGAATTCGCAGTGACTGTATTTAATTAATTTATGCTCTAATTTTTTATATATTTCAAAATTATATGTTCATATTTATAAGAATTGAATGACTCGTGATTTTCATGAATGCATTTTACTTGGTTTAAAGAAGTTTTTTGACAAACATATTTAAAGTTGTTTGTTTTACTGGAAAAAATATGGAAAGCGAATGAAAAAAGAGCTCGTATTTTTTTGCAAAAAAGTTTTTGATAAATTTTTGTGTATCATTTAATTCTTACTAGGAATAGATGTAATTGACTCTTACAAAGAATAACATAGTATATGACCCAATATACAACAGAGAAGGCGTCAGACTATTATGCTCTCGCTTGTATGTTCTTTAAAAGGCAGTGTCAGCAACTGTTTGTGTACCGTAAGGTCGTCTGTCTTACATGTTATTATAGATTATTCAACACAGTAATGATTTGTGCCTATCAACATTTGTTTGTTACTAGTGTGTATCAAAACTCCAGAAAAAGTTTGTTCTGGGAATTTAAATTTAGTACCGGGAGTATATATTTAAATTGGCACACACAACTGTCTTGCACTTTAAGTAAACAAAAAAGAAGCAGAAGAAGAAAAAAGATAGATAAATTTTTAAATATTATTTTTAGGACAAAATTTATCATAATATCGATTTTATGGGCTATTTAAAAACTTCGTATCAATTTTTGTTTTTTTTTTTGTCTGTATCGGTTTTTTTCGGGGGGGGGGGGGGTTAACCTGAACAGTGTTTTAACTTGCTCTTGTCATTGAAAAGCACATGCATAAATTTTTTTTAAGGTGTTTTTTAACAATTACTTATATTTTTCATTAAAATTAAAGGCGTCTGAGGCACTTAGGTAGATGTAAGCTTCATGTAGGTACTTTTTGTAAAAGAAAAGTGGAAAAATGTAAGTATTTCTTTTGAGAATAAAGTGGGGTGAGTGGTCACCCCTTCCTATTTCAATTCCTATGTAAAGATGTAAAGCTGCTAAAAGTGTTAGAACATACCCCCTCCTCTTGATGATTCTTGATCGGTTAATATACGCATATGATGAGCATTAAAAATTGATCATGAAAATCAAATCTTCTGTCTTCAGAGCTTCTGTCTGAACTCCAGTCAAATGGTACCGTTTTGTATAGTTTAGCTTCTATATCCATTCTTGTTGTAATAGGACCGTCTAAAACTGTTTCATAAATCACGTGCATTGCAGAAAAAAGAAAAAAACTCTCTCTTTCCTTAAAGGTGCTAGCAAAAATCAATGATCGACGTACCAAGTTAGTCTCCCTTTCCACACACACTACTAGTTAAAGATCATGAGTATTTGACCATAACATCGGTATTATATTAAGATGCACCTTAAATTCACTACTTAATATAACACTCTTTCTCTCTCTTTTTTCTCTTATTGATTACATTTCTTTTTTTTCTTTTTTATACTAGTATATTATGATAATATGTATCTAAAATAGAGAACAATTCTATATTACTGAAAGGCCCCTATAACTGCCTGAGAGTCAATAAGTAACAACACATGTTCTCAATATACATTTTATCTAAAATCACATAGATGAAATGAAATAAATCTAAAATACAAAATCAAAAGTTGAGAGAATAATAAATTTCCGAATATTACGTCACATTTCTCTTTTTAATAGAAAATAGCATGAATATAAGTATAAATATTTAGATCTGAAAATTTGATTGATTTTACCGTCTTTACAATTACTGACAAACATTTGCTTATTCAAGAATCACAACACAATTAAATTCTTAGAAGATTCACGACTAGAAGCGTATGCACATTTTGAAAACTAAATAAAATGAAAAATTTCGATCATTTAATGCACGAACACATTCAAAAAACTTCAAGAAAGAACATAATTCCTCAAGTACTCTAGCTGGTGTTTTCTCAGAACGCGATGGCCATCTGTGAACAGTTGGAAGTAGACAATGGACTTGTGTGAACTGTTGGAATTGTATATCTGGCTCCTCCTTCTGACACATACTTGGTATATTAGCTAGAATTTCTATTTCCCGCGCTCCTTCTCTTCCTCTTCTGAATCTTTCAGAACAACCTGATCTATACGTCGACTTTCCTGCAAGTAGTTTCGTGTTGTCATGTGACCTCCTTCTTCTGCAGACATCTCTGTGTTACAACATAAGATGTAGCGTTGAGTGGAGCTGACATTTTGTTTTTCCTCGGAACCTTCATCAAAACTATATTAATTCTTTTTAAATAGGATCCCTTTATTTTGTTCTTTGTCCTTAATGGTTAGTACATGTAATATAGATTGATATCAAATATATATATGAAAACTGTTTATCAACACATAGATAAATATACATGTAAACGTGTTAGACAAGTACATAGTAATTAACATAAAGACAAGAACAACCTGTTATTAGTTGATATTCTCACTATTATCGCTATGCATGTATGCAAAACGGACAGAGAGAAAGAGAGAGAGAGGCAATCATTTTTTTTTATAATCAATATCAATTTTAAGTATAACATCTAAATATGTTTTAACCAAAGTAATATCATCCCTGAAACAAAATTTAAATCTAACTACAGGCAGGTAAATTTTTTTTTAAAAACACTTCAACCTTTTAAAAGTCAACATGATTTCTAAAAAATGTTTTTTTTCCTCTCTATTTCTCTCTCATGTGAACAATAAATTCCGCAGTATTTTCCGAAAATACATTTAAATTCTCAGAGTTTAAACCGAAACTAGAAATAACAAATAGGTAGTGTGGGTCAGGTAAATATTGTTGTAGAAAGCCGCCATTTCTGCATGAAAGCAGGTACGATTTCATTAAATCGTAATAAAATCAATTTATTATCAAAATATTTTATACATTTAATGCTATATTCTTCATTTAAGATAATGGTAAATAATTGTTGTATACAAAATGAAGTTGTTTTAAATACAACATAGGCATGTCAATGATAAAAAGGTAAAATTTATTTTCCTGAACATAGAATTGAACGGAAAACTGAAGCATGGACCCCTATAGCAGCGACCAGGACGTGATGCGATGTGACCTGTGTGAGAGCGATGTGGTACAGATGTACTGTGATACATGTCTTGTCAACCTGTGTAAGGCCTGTGTGGGAGAACACTTTTCTGTTGATCTCTCTAAATCTCATAAAATCGTTGATTTCAAGGACCGAAACTCTACCCTTCTTTGCCCCAAATGCACCTCTCATGATAAAGAAACGGGTGAAATGTATTGTTGTGAGTGTGACGTTCCTGTCTGTAGTGGATGCATTTCAACAGATCATCTGGGGCACAATTTGATGAAAATCATGCAAACCCATGACGAAAAAAGGGACAACCTCATCAAAGAACAAGTTGAACTCAACAACAAAATTTTTCCAACATACCAGGACATTGCCTCAGATGTACAAAACAGAATGAGTCAGTTAGAAAAGGAATATGGAGAACTCTCAACAACCATAACAAAACATGGAGAGGACTGGCACGGAGAAATTGACAAGCTTGTCATGGAACTAAGAGTTGAAGTTGATGAGATGAAAAAATCACAGTTACAAACTCTACAGAAACATCTGGATGAAATAAACAAAAACATTCATGACATCAAGGATGAAATAACATTAATCGGTACTGTCCTTAATTCTACAGACAATGCAAACACGCTTAGTATGCCTTCAAAAGCTGATGTGTATAAAGCACTTCCAAGCAAAGTCATAGTTTCCTTACCAGAATTTAACCCAAAGGAATTACTGGCGGACCACCTATTTAGTCTGACACCAATTCCGAAAAAATCAGATGATCATGGCTACCAAATGAAGACAACAGAGAAAACACCAGAAGCTCGATTCTCTTCTGCTATCAAAAAGATGTTTACTGAACCACACACTGTTACAACCATAGATACTGGATATGAAAAACTGTACAATGTGGCCAGTCTTAGAAAGAAAGAAATCTGGACAAATGGTATTGACAATAAGATGAAGCTCTTTAACGTCATTCAGAAATCACTACTCAAGTCAATCAGAACCAAGTCAGGGAACACGCCAGAGGACATAGCAGTAACAAAAAGTGGAGACTTAGTTTATACTGATTACAGTGCCAGAACTGTGAACCTTGTGAAGAATGAGAAGACAGAGGAGGTGATCAGACTAAAGAACTGGATACCTCATGGCGTCTCTAGCACCTCTTCTGGTGACCTCCTTGTTATCATGGGTAGTGATGATAAAAAGCAATCGAAAGTTGTCCGTTATTCTGGCTCCACAGAGAAACAAACCATTCAGTTCGATGATAAAGGTAAACCTCTCTACTCATCTGGTCGATACAACAGATTCATTGCTGAGAACAGGAACCTGGATATTTGTGTGTCTGACTGTGCAGCTAATGCAGTAGTGGTGGTCAATCAGGCCGGGAAACTGAACTTCAGGTATGCTGGACATACTCCTGCTCCAAAGAAACACAAACCATTCAGTCCACGAGGAATCACCACAGACAGTCAGAGTCACATCCTTACAGCTGATCATAACAACCACTGTGTCCACATCATAGACCAGGATGGACAGTTCATCCGTTACATAGACTGTGGACTGAGTAAACCCTGGGGACTGTGTACAGATACAAGTGACAATCTGTTTGTTGCTCAATGGAAAAACGGTCAAGTGAAGAAAATCAAATATTACCAGTGAGATCCATCATTAAAACAATCTTTAAAACACGATGATCGTTCTAAACATTTTCATTCCCATGATAAAATGTACTATTTTTGATATGATGGTTATGATAATTAATAAAGCCATTATTTTTTTTATATACATATTGCAATAAAAATTTTTTTAACTTATCTCTCGCAATTTATGTAGATTGCATGTAATAATAATAATAATATTTACATTTTCAATTGTTTTCCTTATATGAACTGACTGAAGAGAAAATACATGTACATGTATGTTCAATTCTGTATGAACGTATTAGAGGGTCAGAGGAATCACACGGAGAGATGATATCTTGCCTACATATTTCTGTCACATTGAAACTGCTTTCGGAACTTCGAAATCGATAGGTATGAAAAAGATAAAATAATTTAAACATATGGATATTTTTTCCAGGGACAGTAACTGTTGTCTATTAGATTTTTTTTTCGGTGTGTAGAATGGTTTAAATAAAAGTATGAAAATCGTGCTTACATTTTTAGCCCGAAATTCCTGAAGGTATGTAAACTGAAACGGACGATAACGCCGCCTTTGGCTTCAGATATGTTAAAAAAAAAAAAAAAAAAAAAAAACTCTTAAAATAGTAAGACAATTCTTTATACCTATCATTTTTCTATAATTATAAACAGATATTTCCTGAACTTGATTGCCAAACATCAATATAAACATTCAAATGTTGGAGCAAAGCGAACTTTAACAACCAAATAACTTCTAGATAATTGCGTGTCACAACATAGCGATACGGCTTGTAATATTTCTTTTCGAACATTTGTCTCAAATGTAAATTTAAGTAATAAATAACAAGATTACAGAGTTCACTGGGAAATGAACTTGGTTGGTACCTGATCAAATTTACTAAGAAACCCTTCGGGCTTTACATAATTTGATCACGTGAACAACCAAGTTCATTTTCCAGAGAAATGTTCAACCTTGTTATTTATTTCAGAAATAATAATAAATATAGGATACCGGTTTTCTCCAACTCTCCTTCCTTAAATTTTGATTGTTAATAGACTCGATGGATGCCGAGTTTCTATTGAAAATTAAAAATTTAAAGAAGGTGAGTTAGAGAAAACCGGTACTTAACGACCACACATTATGGAACCTTTTTCTCCCTATACTAAAATTTGTCAAAGTAGCTGAACATTATTACTGGACAAAACACAAACAAATAGTGAGAAGAATGTGACGTCATAATACGTGTTCTCTAACACGTAAGAGAACCAAAAAAATAAAAGGATCACTGCACAGGAATGATGAAACATATAACGGTAATAGGAGAACAATAAATTTTCTCTAATCAACATTTAAAGAGCCAAAATAATATGTACAAACTTCGATCCTTTGTTTTGTTTGTTGTTTAACGTCCCTCTCGAGAATTTTTTACTCATATAGAGACTCCACCACTTGCAGTTGGAGGGCCGCAATTTTATACCTATACTCGGCACTTAGGGTCATTGAGCAGTGAGGGATCTTTTTTGTGCCAACAACTACTGCGACACGGACCTCGGTTTATACGGTCTCATCTGAAGGACCGGTCTCTACGTCCCGCAGTGGATTCGAACCCGCGACGTAAGGATCAACTCCTTACTCTGCGACTCTAGAGCAAACGCTCTAACCATTGCGCCACGCGGGCGACTCGATCCTTTGTTAATCGGTCCTTTCTTAATTGAATTGACAAATCAAATTCATTATTCACTGTTCCTTCTGTATAGATAAATCTGCTTCTGCATGACTCTGAAAATATGTATGGAAACCAAAAAATACTTGGTCTTAATATGTTATTTTCATGATCAAAGCTAAATTTAGAGATCAGAGCAGATTCTTACTATGAAAAGGTTACGTTGTTGAAGAACAGATTGTAGGAACAAACATTTTTCTGTTCAAAATACTGACAGGTGTGGTCGGGGAAGAAAATTAAATAAAAAAAAATCCATGATAGAGGTTTCATGCAAGATTAAAGTTCGTCAAAATATAGTCAACTGTTATTTTCTGGATTTAATAGTATCCAATCAGTTCTTAATTTTATAAATGTTAATGAAAATGAAAATTTTCACTTTTACATATTCTAACAGTTAATTTTAGTTTTTTAGGTCGACGAATAATGCAAAATGTAAATTTCTTATTAAACCATTCCATTCATTTCATTTCAGGTTGAAAAATTGATTCAGCAAATTTACTTTTTTGGACGTCTTCGATATTATGCAATCCATATGCATTTTATAAAAAGATAACTGTGGATCTTATAAGTTTATCAAGAGTAGCCTCATTGTAATCATACCCAAAGATTTGACCGTCTTCCAGTTGTGGATTTGCTTTTTTCATATGAGTGTGTTTTGGAGGCTGTCAAAATATATCCAAACAATCATCCAATAATAAAACTTTATAACAATCAAAAAATAAAGTGTCGAAATGTTGTCGACAGAAGAACGTGTAGAATCAAGTCGAACGTGCGATATATAAAATAAAATCGTACAGATTTTTTTGTGAATGCAGTGTTTGTGTAGATTAAGGTACATATTTCTTATTGTAGGTGGTCCCCTTTGTCAAAGAAATGAAAATTATAGACCGTCTACAAAAAATTCTCTCTTCTCAATTCTTATTTACACTTGTAGGTAAGATATTTCTTTTTCATCTATTTTATCTTACTTTTTCTATTCGTTTTGGGGTATGTTTGCATTGTTGTTCATATTCGTTAAAAGATATTTTAAAGTGTATGTGTACAAAATAAACATTTGAGTCTTTTATTGGTTGGAAAGGACAAATAGGTGTTCATCTTATAAAGGTGTCCTAGTGTGATATATAAGATGACGATCGCAATTATATGTGTTTTTATGCATTTTATATATTATTTGGTATTTGCAAGGTTTGGTCCATATAAGTGAAATATGATGCATTTAAAGAGAAAGGTTCACTTTATACATAAAATGGCCTTGCAGATAAACTAATTGACAAGCACCCTATGTCCTATTTCAATCATCAGTGTAAAGTAGAGACTTAGTGCTTTCATTTCCTATAACAGTTTCTTCTGAGAGTTCAGGCTTTCTAAAACAGGCTTTGTGAAATTGCAAGGTCTTTGAATTTTGCAGAAAACGTGTATTTGAGAACCGTCAGAAAATTTTACAATATGAGCACATCCCTTGATCCAAAAAAGAAAAAGAAACGTTTTATAATCTTCAGAAACGGTTCTTTCATTAGATTATATAATTATTACTTTCAGTCGCCCCTACACTGAATGCTGAGCCGCAGATTATTTCATCGTTGGTTAGAAGCAATGTATAATTGCAGATTCTGGATTAGAGTTTGTGCTCTATACGCAATATTGAAATAAAAAACATAGACTGATGGCCATCTTCATGGACAAAACTTATGACGTCAAAATGCATTGACCATCATCAAAATTTCGTCATTTTAAATAGATATGCAGTCACCAAGTGTCGAAATGATATTTAATTCATTTTCAACTAAAATTGAGCAGTTTTGATTTTTCAGAAATTTACAGGCCCAAAATAGACCCTAAGTGAACCTTGCTCTTTAAATGTAAATGTATTTTTGAAACATAAGGACCTGTCAGTAGAATATCGACACCAAATTCAAGATCAGTCATATATCTACTAGGTAGTCAACCTTGATGTTTTACTATTGTTGTCAAATTTGAAGTGCGCAGCCCTTTCGGTTTTAAATCTATGTCCAGTATTAATAAACTTTACAAAGACAGACAGACAGACAGACAGTCAAAAAGAAAGACTCAAAAACAAGACTCAAGGAAAAGGTCAAAAACATCAATACCTCGGCAGACTTTTGATCTACAATTGAAATAAAGATCTATGTTGGCATGCTGTTTCCCATTAATAGAACATGGTCAATCCAATTCTATGTTGGCATGCTGTTTCCCATTAATAGAACATGGTCAATCCAATTCCACTTCTAAGTGTTATAATTTCACTTGCTCTTGTTCATCTATGAAATAGTGTTTCATTCGATATTTTATCTAGCAATCTAACTCTCAAAAATTTTCTCAGGCATATATTTCTTCTTTTTGTCTCGCTTTGTTGTTTTCCATGTCTTGCTTTCATACATAAGAACCGACAGGACCATGATGTTAAATAACTTTTGTTTGAGTGGAAAAATTTTAATGAGATTCAGATGTTTCTGAGTCTTCTAAATTGAGCTTTGCTTTTCCCAGTCTGTTGGCAATGACCTCGACAGACTTCCCTTTGTTGTTATCACACCTCCAAGGTAAGTAAATGTTTCTATATTCTCTAGGTATTGATTTAAACTGGCTGAGACTCTCACGTCTGTGTTGAGTCTCATTACTTTTGACTTTCTTAATTTTTATTCTGAGGCCAACTCGAAATGCATTTTCATGTACTCTTTCTGCTTTTGTATGTCCTCTATTTTCAAGAAGAGTAAAGCAAGGTCGTCTGAGACGTCTAGATCTTCAGGTTTTGTGGTGAATTTCCACCTTATTCCTGTTGGTTTTCTTTCTGTAGCTCTCTTCATTATTAAGTATATAACCAGCAAAAACAAGAATCCAGACAAAATGGAAAATTTCTTCACTGCTGTTCTTTCCCGGAACCAGTCGAATTCTTCACCATCTTTAGCAGTGCACATTTGAATGTTTCATACTTAAGTTTCACCATATTGACCAGCTCGTTTAATTTCAATAACTGCAATAAAACATGATAGACCAAAGACTCTGTCTATGAATGGAATTAAAGGCCTTCTAAAAATTAACTAAGTTTTCAAAACATGTTAAGTTCCATTTTATGGAATCAAGCTGAAAAAAGAAAAAAAATAATGCGTTGATCCCGTTTGATGTCACAAATATTGTTCAACATGCCCTAGTCTTAATCGGGAACGCCCATTTTGTTTTCATGACAGAAGAAGGTATCTTAATTGAATCTTACCAGGCCTTATCAAATTCAAGAAATTGTCTGACAGTGTTTGGTACGAAATTTCGCAAGAAATTAACAAATGATGGTAAAAATTATAAAGAATTATACAAGATAAATTCACAACATAAAAAGGTAGCTGAAAAAACTGTTCATTTTGTTACGAAGCCTTTAATAAGCAGCA